TAGGGCTTTGAGACTCAAGGACTTTTGTAGGTAGTCTATTTATCATACGAGTAGCAGTTATGACAACCTTGTCATGGTGACTTTTTTCAAAGCGCATATGGAGCGATTTTGAAATTGGAATTAAATTTTTAGAAAATACTTGAAACATTTGAGTCGTCATCGACCTTTGGGACTAGATAGGTCAAAAACCCAAAAACACCCTTTAAATAATTTTAAATAAAAACTTTAAAAAGATTCAATTTGGTATGTGATTTATAGATTATGGGTTCGGGAGTCGATTACGCTTGGGGAATGATTAGCACCCACGCAACGCCCAAAAAATTGGTACCTTCAGTTACGAATTTGTCCCTATATTAAAATCTAAAACTTCATATATTTATTTGATTAGTGATCCTTTTATTCCCTAAAATAAAATATTTTAACCTAATTAAGAGATTTTAGGAGAGATGCACAGTATTTGTCTATTTCCAATTAAAGAAGAAACTAACCCTTTAATTGGAATTAAGACAATTATTTCTTATTTTTAATCGAAACAATGAAATATTGTCATCCTTAAAATTAGGAAACTAATTGATTATTAAGCCCTAAAAAGAAAAATAAAGAGTGACAAGTTAGTCAAGTTATTATTTAACTTAGCAATTTAAACGTAGGAACAAACCTCTAACCTTATTTTTTTAATTAATATGAACCTATTTAATTTGGTGACCACTAGTAGAATATTTATTTATTTAAAAATATTGAAAAAGAAATGTCTAGTTACTTTAAGACTACCCTTTTCAACATCTAAAAATAAACAAATATTATATTTTTAATCAAATTATGAATTTAACAAATTTGTTTCTAATTAGAACTATTAAAGAAGTTAATCCTAAAAGGATATTAATAAATTTAATTAATTTCTAATTAAAGAACTTAAACTATGGCTCTAATAATTACTGACTAAAGCTAAAGAACTTAAAATCTAAGGTTTAATTAGAAATCTAATAATTAATTTTAATATTAGTGACTAGATCTAAAAGATTAAAAAATCTAAAGGTTTTCAACGTGCCTATCTTGAAAGATTGTAAAATTAACACTCATATTAATATTTAAACACATTTAATAAAATAATGAAAGTAATTACAGTGAAATCAGGGACTAAATTGCATACAATTCAGAATTTAAGGAATGAGTTACAATGATTTGGTAACTAAAAATAAAACAAAGGAGAATCCAGAGACAGGAAGCAAAACACATGTATAGTAGGGTGATTTAATGAAATAATTTCCTCAAAATTTTATCCCATTCAAAAGACTCATTTCTTTAAAATGAAGAACAAATTGAATCAAACCCTCTTTTTACTTAATGTTCTTCCCATGTTCTTACACAAAAACCTGTTTTGATCCATAAAAACACCGAAACTCAACCCAAAAATATTTTTATAGACCAAATTAACCTAAAAACTCAAAATCTTCAACACATTTTCCTAAATTTGCCCCAAATCTCCAAAAACAAAGCCTAAATATAATCTCAAATCCAATAGGATTTACCATTTTTTTTCTTCCAACCTAAACTATCTAAACCAAAACAACCACCACCCTAAACACCAATCGTCGGCCATCACGGCCCAACGCCGGCCACCACATCTCTTGGCCACCTTTATTTTTAGAACCAATGGAGAAAATGAAAGCAACACAAAACAAAAACTCACCTTAACATGACTCGGGTCGAACCTTGAACCCGAGATCAACGACGAACGGTGGCGGTGAACAACTTTGAAGGTGAAAAAAACTCTTCTTTTCTCCAACTCCTTGCTCTTAACTTAAGGTTAATGCATTGATTTTTCGATAATGATGTGTGTTTTTCGTTGATTGGTGATTATTGATATTTATAGTGGCTTGATTAGTTAGATTTCATCTCTTCCCGCTCATAAACGTTTGTAACTAATATTGGTTAAGTTTTTTTTGCTAGAAGCTTCGGATTTCTTGTTGATATTTTCTTCTTTGATGTTTTTTCATGTTTGGAATGAAAACAAATGGTGGTAACCTGATGATATTCCGTCCAAAACGGTGGCGACGGTGGACGAGAAGACGAACGGCCTCACGCGCCAACAATGCATCGATGAAGCTTCAGTGCCGGTGGTAATGCACCGGTGAAGCTCCAAATGTCTCTTTTGATGAAACAATCTTGACCATTGGATCAAACTAGATCCAATGGTTTAGATGCATTTATGCTTCTTCACTTGGATGGGTGACGTGGCTCAATGGGAGCCTTTGGATATAGCTTCTCATCCAAGGGCTCTAAAGGATTTGTGCTTTCTTCTCAAGGATAGAAGATGTGTCAAAATCCTAATTCATTGGAACAAAGGCTTATCAATGGTCCAAAATCACTTGGCTCTCTTCACGAGGATGGACAAGGTGTAATCATCAAGTACACTTTAAAAGTTGCACCCTAATTAATGCATTGTCCCCTTTTAAAATTCAAAGCAAACAAATTCACCCCACACCAAGGCAAAATTGACGACATGCTTGAACCAAACTAGGGTTTTATTTTTTTTATTTATTTATTTATATATTTGTAAAGATGTGTGGACTACTATTTGGGCCTTTAAAAAACAATCTAATGGACATATGTATTTAATAAAATGGACATTTTTTTGGATTTTTATTATTTATAAAAGAAAATAAAATGGGCTTGTATCTAATATGGACTATTATTTATAATATGCAAACTATTTAATATGGATTATATAATATGCAATATATGTACTATTTAATGAAAACTATATACTATATACTAAACCATATACTATGTGCTATATGATATATGTCCATTTAACATGAAAACTATATACTATACACACACTATATACTATATGATTATAATATATACACACTATATAATATATGCTCAAACATTTATTATTTTACTAAAACCCTTTATATTATTATATATAATAAAAACGCCACATTACCTCCTGGATAAAATGGGTGATGAAAAGCCTCCCCCAATATTGTTTAGGAACATTTTTCTGGAACAAGAGAGCCCTTATGAAAAATAAAATGTGGCCATTTTCCTTTTAGTTACATCGTTTTGTTGAGGGAGTACTAACACAAGATGACTCATGTATAATGCCTTTTTCTGGAACTATGGTGAGAGAAATTGGCTGAAATAGTCTTTGGCACTATCAGACTGAAACCCCTTAATTTCAGCACCAAATTCAGTTTTGATCATATTGTAAAAAGTTTGAAAAGTAGAGCTCACATTAGATTTTATTTTATTCTTTTATTGCTTGCTGGAAAAATGGTACATTGTGTTTTGCAAGCTCACTGATATCATAATGAAATTTTTCACCATTTAACCATTTGAACAATAAATGAAACATAATTTAAAAAACTCTAAATAAAGGATGACCAAGGCGGAGATGATGAAGCCAAATTTGATTTTTATTTATTTTAACAGATTTGGAGAGGAAAGATAATGGTGAAGGATTTTTCAAAATAGTATAACCCATTTATTTCCTTAGTATATCCAATCATCCTCCTCGTACCATGTTCCTGAAAAATACATCAAGTAGGATAAAAAACCATATTACAATTAGAATCTTTGGTAAACTTTTGAATTGATAGTAGTTTGGTAAATAACTTTGGAACATTAAGGACATTTTTAAGGGCGATAGTTTCGCTTACAATAATATCACCTTAACCATCCATTGTAATCACAGAACCATCAGTTACATTTATCTTTTTATTAGTAGGACGGGGTGTATATGTAATGAAATTTTGTGAGGAGTGGGTCATGTGGTTTTTAGCTCCTGAGTCAATGACCCAAGAGTCTTTGGTGGGTATATCCGAGACCTTAGAGTTTTGAGAAGAGGATATACCTGAAAGAGCTAAATTACAAGTTCATGTTAAAAAGGGTTTTCCAGTTATCCCAACTGTCACTTTAGTTTCTCAATTTCTTCTATATTGAACTCAACAGGTTAATCTTGAGTAGTACTTTTTCCAATATGTTGTCTTGCTTTGTATGCCTACCCTTGTCCTTTCAGTTGTCCACTTTTGACTGAAAAATTTCTATTTATTATTTGTGGCTTCCCATGAAGTTTCCAACATTTCTTCTTAGTGTGGCAAGGTTTTTTGCAATATGTACACTATAAGGTGTCTTTGTTGAGTGACCTTGTGAATTCAGTTTGCCTATTTTATTCACTGGTTAGTTGTTCCAAACCACCAAATTTCTTCTCATTTACATCCTTTGTTACCAAGGTTGAACCTTCCTCCTGGTTATTCTCGATCATAACTCCTTTTTTTCTTTCCTCGGCACGAACAATTGCAATTAACTCATTTAGCAATGGTAGACCCTCCTTTCCAAGTATTTGAACCCTTACTGCATCAAAATTAATATTTATTTCCGCAAGAAAATCATAAATTCGATCCTTTTCAACAAACCTTTTAAGAATTGTTGCATCTTCCCTGCATCTCATTCGAATGCACTGGTAATGATCCATTTCTTGGCATAGATCTTGCAGTAGTTTGGAATATTCTAAAATTGATCTGTTTCCTTGGTTGGTGGACGAAATCTTAGTCTTGATTTCATAGATTTGGGCAGCATCTTGAAGTTTTGAGTAAATTTGCCTCACAACTTCCCATATTTCTTTGGTTGTGTTGAGGAACATGCATGTATCACATATTTCTGGCATCATAGAGTTCCATAGCCAAGACATCACCATAGGGCCTTGCTCATCCCAAGCATCAAACCTAAGATCCCTTTCTTTAGGTCCATTTCCAAGTAGGTGACTCAATCTTCTTTTCCATTTCAAGAACGTGCAAATGAGTTGAGACCATTTTCGGTAATTCTTCCCATTTAATATGTAGGCTGCTTGGATGCTCTGCAACTCACTTTTTTTGTTTAAGAAACTTCCTTCATTCACTATGACTTTGTTGGTTTCGAAAAATCCACCCATGTTTTTCTTGAACGACCTCTATAAGTTTATGGAAAGATCGAGAGTGATAAGAGGCTGCCAGAAAAAAAAAAGAAAAAAAATCCCATAATTGAGCTAAAAAGGCTCTAATACCATGTCAAGACAGACTTTTTTCGATAAATTACACCATAGGAAGTTTACACTGATATAGACAAAGTAAGCTTAGGTTAGGAACCTCTAAACTAGGAAAGGGACTGATTATAGGATGTTTGACCTAAAGTAATCTCTTAAAGTTATAGATTACAATCACTAACATATTTACATAATCTTAGCTAATACAACCATAATTCTTTATTTAGGAAACTGGAATCTGACAATAACTTACCTTTTGATATAAATACACATCAAATATACTTCAAGAAGTAAGAGATGAACATTCAAAGATTAAAGATAAAAAAATTTAATTCTCCGTTCTTTCATTTTTGTTGTTGTTCGTAATGTATAATGTTTATTGTATATATTTATTTTCATTCTTTGTTAGTTTTAAATTTATAATCAGAGAGAGATTAAAAATATATTGTAACGATTAAATATTTTTTATGAAAGATTCAGTTCAAATTAGTGAATTGAAAAATATCCTTAATGGCGTAAAACTATGCTAGTGAAGGTAGACATTTGAAATGTCAAACCACTATAAATGGTTCACTTTTTATTTTTTTCATCTACTTAATCGAAATTATAAAAAAAACACTAATTTAACCTCTTAATGATTATTGAGCCAAAAAATATTTTCTGAAAACATGAATAGAAAATAATTCAAATTTAAACTTGAAGTTACAACACGAGCAAAATTTCTATTGAAAAATAAGAAATCTTCAAAATAAATAAAATATCTCCCATTTGTCATATGAATTACTTAATATTATCAAGTGAAATTAATTTACTGTTAAATAGTACTAAAGCAAATGTGGAAAAATAATACTCCTACTAAACTTGACATTAATGGATCGGATTAAGGCATTACACTAATAATAATTAAAAGATTAAATTATGCTAAATTGAAATATAAAAAATAAACCATAAAAAAGAAGTATGAAGATACAAGAAAATTAAGTATAGTTTGAGACAAAAACCAATATTTGATGATTTGATCTAACGCACAACCCAAATGATTTTTTTATAATAATTTTATACTTAATCCGTTAGTTAACCACTTCGAATTCATCCCCCCAAAAAAACTTCGAATTCAGATATTAAAAAAATCTATTACGAGTAATTTTTCAATTCAATATATTCTATTCACAATATTGTAATTTAAATTCTGATATTATTCTTTAAAAGCCTAATACTTTATCTCGTTAAATCAACTGAAGTTTCTTTCAAGTTCTCTATTACTTTGGCTCTTGTATAAAATTAAAGAGTATTTTTTAAATAAATATAGAAAATTCCTTCAACATTTGATAGTCAAGTGAATCTGTGTGATACATACCAAATGAATAATTTGACTGAAAATTATTATGTTCCAAAAGAATTGATAATATACAAAGAATAAAATTATATCCAACCAAATTTGAAGAGAGATGAAAGTGAAAGCAAAAAAAAAAAAACAGAGGCAAAAACGGCAGCACAACGGAGAAAACATAATTAGGTGGTGATGATACCCGCTATAACATCAGTATTACCTCGTGCATAAATTGTACATACTAGGCGGATAGCGTCAAGCCACCCGTCTAGTGATTCCCACGACTCAGCAACCTGAAGGGAAAAGCACACAATACTCACTAAAGCTGGATTTTTTTTAATTAGGGTAAACTAAGTATTTAGTCATCCGACTATTATTTTGATTCATTTTGGTCACCCAACTATTTTTCTTTCAAAAGGCATAATAATAACATTACACCCAACGTTTGCACAAATGATCGCTTTACGCCTTATCCTTTTTTGGAACATTTTAGCCCCAACGTTTTATTTTGAAGAAAAATACCCCTGATTTGATGGAAATCGTTAGTTGAATAACAGTTAATGCTTCCTATTTACATGATAGGTTCATGTGTGATGCCACATCATCAAAAAATATTTTTAAATTGTTTTAAAATATATTTTTATAAGTGTATATGTAATTAGTTACGATTATAGTTTACTTTAAAAATATTGTTTTTGATGTGGCATCACACATGGACTTGCCAAGTCCACATGAAACATTAACCGTTAGTCAACTAATAATTTTCATCCAATCAAGGGACATTTTGCTCCAAAATGAAACGTTGGAGACTAAAATACTCCATAAAAAGGATAGGGGGCAAAGTGGCCATGTGTGCAAACGTTATGAAGTAATTTTGTCATTATATTTAACGTTACGTTTTGGTTCCGTTTTCATCATCCGCCGTTAAAAATAAGCAAAATTGCTGACATGTAATTTTTTTATTCTTTTTCAATAATGTCGTGGTATTATCTTATGGTACCACGTCAACATCAGTATTGGCTTTTTAACGACGAATGACTAAAAATGAAACAAAAAAGTAACGTTATGTATGATTTAAAAAAATAATAGTTGGGTCATCAAAACGGAACAAAAGTGATAGTAAGAACACTAAACATATAGTTTACCCTTTTTATTATTATATTGCTTACATAACGCCTAAATGACAAATATGCGCATAAACAATTGTAAGTTTGATATCCCCATGAAAGCCTTCATTCCACTAAGATATAAGAAAAGAGGTTTTGAGCTAAAATGTAAAACATAATACTTACCAAGAAAACCGAACCGGATGTAGTATTAACGCAGAGGCCGGCACCTGGTGGTAGAGTCAGATCAGCACAGGCTGATACAGAGATGATATCTGGAATATCAACTCTGATAGCCTTTTTTTCGGTATTTCCTATATCCACAACTATGCCAGAGAGGCTTCGGGAAACTTGTTTAGGCTCAACTCTGATGACCTACACAATTGCAAAACCGAGCAGAACCAACGAAAGCAATTAAAGCCAAATACATACAAAGATGAATAACATAGATCAGCAGTATTTTTTTTTTATAGGAACATAGATCAGCAGTATAAACTTGAAGTAAACCCTATCCTAGCTCTCTCTCACATACACGTACTTTTATTCTTCGTGTAGCAATTTACGTTGCTTTAGCCTTCTGTATATAACATCCTGGAATAACATGCACTATATATTTTCTCATATTCATTCCTTCCACCTAGGAAAGGAACTTGAAATAACATAACTTCATATACTGGATGTGAAAAATTATTTGAAGAAATGAATCCCCAATGTCAGGCAATCATGAAAATGAAACTTCAGATTTGTTTAGCATGGACAATGGAAAAACCAATCAGTTCGTTTACCTGTTGAAGTGCTTCATGATTCAGAAAGAACTCTGTTCTCTTCCAATCACTATGAGGTGCAATTGTGTTTCCTGCTGGTGGTGCAGTCAGATACCCTTCTTTAAGATGGGGTAAAGGTAGCTGTCAAAAATTTATCTTTAGTCAGAATTCGTTTGCCCAGCTAACTCAATTGAGCATTAACAGAAGATAACCACCACAACCATTTGCACTGGAACGAGTTGGCAGTTCTCTTTACCAGGTGATGAATGCCCAGTTTAAACATGAAATGAACTAATGACAAAAACTATATATCTTTCTCGGCACACAGACACAGAGAAAAGAAGAGGGTGAAAGAATAGGAATGCAATTACTTGCTATGACGTTTTAAAAAAATTATGTTTCTGCCAACAAAGCCAAAGACACAGTGCTAAGGTTGTTGCAAGTTGGCACCAAAGACCAGGGTTCAACTTCTACATAACACAACCTCCTCCCCAAATATGTAATGAACAAAAAATAAATAAAAAATAAGGGTCAAATTGTAAAGAAGGTCCTTGTGCCAAGTGCTTTTTTGGATTTAATCTCTCTACTATAATTTGATCATTTCTAGACCCTCTACTACTCAGAAAGTGTATTTCAGTACTAAGGTCAGCTTCTTTTTTTTTTCCTTCTGTCAAATAATTTGATGCCACTTATTCTTTTTAAACATGTGATGATGTGGCATATACATCTTGACATTTTTGTACATTTGGAAAAATATATGATGATGTGCAAAAGGTTCGTTCAACTGTACAAAAAATATCGGAACAAGTTTGAAAAAGTCCGTCAAATTGATAACGAAATTAATGAAAAGGGTAAGACACTTAGCCCAGAGGTTTGGTATAAAATACACTTACTACCTATAGTTTGAAAAATACCCACTAACCCCTAAGGTTTATTTGCAATGAATTTACCCTTGATCAATTACTAATTATTTTATTATTTTTCTTATCTTTAATCATTTTTATTCAATAATTTTCAAATAAAAAGAATATAAATCTATTTAATTATAAACTTATTTTAATTATTATTAAATTACATTATAAATTGCATTATATTCCAATACAAGCATATGGTAAACATTTTTTAAAATGTATTTAAGTTTTATTTTTTAATGCCATGATAATTTTTTAATGTCATGACCAATATATTACGTAAATACATGTTAAATATTTTAGATTTAATATTAATTCAATTTTGCATATTAACTTCGAGATGAAATTATATTTTTCACTTTCCCTTTCTTTTTTTGTCTTTTTATTTTAATGGATTTGATGTATCCTCAATTAATGGCACCTCCGACACTTGAATTGTTAATTCAAGTATCGAGTAAAAGGTTAAACTATGTGTTTCTTTAAGAGTAGTCATAGTTTGTTTAAGAGTAGGGTTGATTGCCTAAACTGTGAATTCTCATAAGTTTTGTTAAACAAATGAGAAATCAAACAAAAATATTGAGTGAATGACTAGAAAAACCAAAATACACAACAGATTAGTAATTGTGTTGAGTTATGCAAATTATTGTAAGAAGTTTTGTTTTTAGGAGTCTCTTAAGATGAGAGGAGTCATTATTATCTTTTATCTTCATATAGTTTTAATCTTTATCTTTAGAGAATTTGTTAGGGGGTCTACTACTAGTGTAGTTAAACTAATGTTATCTAACCTATTGAAAATAATAATAGGGAAATTTGTTCCTCACCATTTCTGGCATTGTATCAGATTTGGCTCTTTCCTAATCAAATTCTGATTTTCTTTTCTCTTTTCCCCTCACTCAATGTTGCCTTTCTTATCTATATATATTTCTTTTTCATTCAATTGATCATGTCAGCAGTACCTAACAGTCCTGTTGAAATCACCAGCCCTGTCATGAGTTTGCTTTGCACATACTGCAAGAAGGATCGTTACACCAGGGAGTGATGCTGGAAACTTCATGGCAGACCAAATGAAAAGCCCAATCGAAGAGAAAATGATGGAAGCCAGGCACTTATGGTTAGTCCCTTGTTGACCAGTAATGAAAGGAAGTCTGCTCCTGAAGCACACATCGAGCAAATCTAGAAACTAAAGACCTTTTTCGGATCTTTTGAGAAGCCAAATTCAACAACTAACTGTTCGCTGACATTTTCAGGTATTTATTCTTCCTCTTCTATTAATGTCTCAAACAAAAATTCTCCTCTCATGTGGTGATTGATTTTGGAGCCACTGATCATATGACATGTTCCTCCAAAAAAAAAATCTCTTATTGTCTAACCTGTAGCCATACAAAGATCGTTGTAGCTGACGGATCCATTACTACCGTCGCTGACCAAGGGGACAGTTATATCAACAAAAACCTTATATTAAGAAATGTTCATGTTCTCAAATTATTGGCAATTCCATTCACAAATTAAGATATTCAAATTGTAGTGTAACCTTTTTATTTCCTTCGCATTGTGTTTTTCAGACACTGGACACGGAGAGGGTGATTGGACGTACTAGTTAGAAAGGTCTCTACTTCCTAGAACAAATAAGCAGTAGAATAGAAGGTGACATTCCCATATCTACTTTGGTTTTTTGACTTCAACATCGTCGTTTAGGTCATCCGTCATTTAAAATATTCAAATTATTGTTTCGGTTTTGCCTTTGAAGCCTATCGCCGTTTAGGTCATCTATCATTTGAAATACTCAAGTTGATGTTTCTCACTTTATTTTAAAGGTTTTGCCTTTGAAGCCTTTCATTGTAACGATAGTTACCTGACCAAACCCAAATGTGCTTCCTTTCCTATAAGCAACAAAAAACCTTTGTTCTTTTTGTCTCTCATTCATAGTGATATTTGGGGGCTGCCTCTCATTCCTAATGTTTCTGGTGCTAGGTGATTTGTTTCTTTTATAGATAATTCTATCCAGGTGATATAAGTATATTTCCTAAAAAAAATCTGATATTAGCTTTGCTTTTCCTAATTTTTAAGATATGATCAATACTCAGTTAGGTGTCAAAATTAAAAGATTTCGTACGAACAATACAAAAGACTATTTCAATCAAATTCTTTCCCCATTTTTTCAAAAAAAAAGGATTATTGATGACTCATCATGTATAAAACAGTGGCTACGAGAAAGAATAACCATCTCCCAGAGATCACTAGAGCCTTATTATTTCACAAGAATGTTCCCAAACAGTATTGGGATGAAGTTGTCTTAACCGCTACCCATCTTATTAACAGGCGTCCAACACATGTCCTTGGGTTTAAAAATCTAACTGATATTCTTACAAAAAAAAATTCCCAATTTCTCGGCTTCAAACAATCTTATTCCTTGAATCTTTAGTGAGCCCACTTCTCCAACAATCAATTCAACCAAGTCAGTTGACATGATGGAAAATGTGGGAAATCAAGATAATATTCAACTAGAGGTTTATTCCAGGAAGAAGATAACAGTCTCTTGACGAGTACAAGTACAATCTTCCTATTCGTGCTTACTCAAATGCCCAAAACCATTTCCAAACAAATTGACAGTGTGACGCCAAGTATTGAGACAATTGAACCAACAAATGAACATAAAAAACCAAATATTGAAGACCTACCCATTACACTTAGGAAAGGAACAAGAAATAGAACATTCCTAACCAATCTCCATACAATTCAACTACCGAAATTTCGAACTGGGGCATTATAAAAAAAAAGGTGAGAGGATGCTATGAACACTGAGATGGAAGCCCTTAAGAAGAACAAGACATCAGAGTTAGTTGAATTATCAAGAGGGAAGAAATTGGTTCGATGTAGGAGGGTTTTAACAACAAAATACAAAGTTGATAGCTCAGTGGAAAGGTACAAGACAAGATTGATGGCCAAAGGATACACTCAAACCTATGACATTGATTATCTTGAGACATCTTCCCCTTTTGGAAATATGAACATGGTAAGGGTTCTTTTGTCATTAACTACAAATTTTGAGTGGAATCTAAAACAGTTTAATGTTTAGAATGTGTTCTTCCGTGGTGATCTTGTAGAGGAAATTTACATGGAAATTCCTCTTAGATTAAGCAAGCACCACAAGCTTGGTTTGGGAGGTTTGTTAATGTAATGATCTCGTTAGGATACAAGAAGTCAAGGAGATCATATTTTGTTCATAAGACACTAAAATTCTGAGAAAGTTACAACATTGTTAGTGTATACATATGATATCATAAGAAGAGTGTCACGATGAGCATTAAGGGATTTGTTCTTATTCCAGGGTCCTGTAGAAAGAGTTTTCATTCCCAAAGAAACAAGAAACCCAAAATACAAATTCTCCATATTTGCTTTTGTGCAGTTTGGTAATGAGGCAGGTTTGAAAAGGGCAATAGACAAATTAAACAGTTCATTGATAGATGGGAGGAGGATTACAATTGGAGTTGCTAGATACAAGGAAGCTCGTTTAAGGACAGTGGGGAAGAATAGTTCTTTGAAGATGGTTTCAACACCGAATACAGAAGAAACATCAAAGTCAAAAGTGAAAGATGATATTAGCAGGAGTTTAAGGGATGATAGAACTTATAAAGATGCTTTACTGTCGAACAAAATGAAGAGAAGTACATCGGAAAATAGGGAGATGTCATATGATGGTCTTCACAGGGGGAATGGTAAGAAAAATATTTTGGAAATGCATATTCCCTCTGAGAGTTCAAGTTGGGTTAAGAGGTCATTAACGGGGATCATTAAACATTCTTTTGAGTTAGTTCAAAAGGCTTTAGTTAATGAAGGTTATGATGTCCAGATTGCTAGATGGGGTTATGTTTGGAATTCATGTGCAGTAACTTTTAAATCGTCTGAATAGATGATAGAGGCATGGATGAAGAAGAAAGATGAATTAGAATTTTGGTTTGATCGATTGACAACCTTACTGAATGAAGATGGAATTCCAATGGCATTCTGCCTGGTTGAGCTAATTGGGGTTCTTCTTTTATGCTGGAATGATTCATTTTTGGAACGGGTAGCAGAGAGATGGGGGACGGTGGTAAACATCCATGATGCCACTAAAAACACGGAAGACCTCACGATGGCGAGAGTTTTAATTAGGGTGGCCAGCCCATTGATGTCCCGGAGGTGATCACTCTTGGATCATATAGAAGATCTTTCAAAGCGAGAATCAAGATT